TGGCCTGTTAACTTTCTTAAAATCAATTATGAGACTGACAGAAATACACTAGGTATTTATACAGCATGTTTTGGAAGAAGTTTCAGGATTGTGATGGAAAGATTTTGTATTTATAGAAGACAAGTTAGATAGAAGAAGGTATAAACATAAGTATTCTATATTTTTATTATCCATTTTCATACCATATAAATGAACATTAAAAATATGAAAATTACTTTCTGTCTGGCATGTGTATATATTATGTGATGCAATATCTGTTGCTCTATTTTTACTGTGTGAATGTTCAGAATGTATTCATGAAGTGACTTTTACACTTTCTTCCTTCATCAGGTGGTCATATAGATGTCATTTAGAGGACACAAAAGACGTAAAGATCATGTAAGGATAAAAGGTACATCGAAATGACCAGTAAGATGTAAATATCACGTCAAAATTTGATGTCCATACAACGTATACACGACGTCTGTAGGACGTCTTTCTTGGGTAAAAGTTGACGTCTTAAAGACGTCTTTCTTGGACCAATAAGACCAGAAAAAAATATGACGTCCATACGACGTCTTTCTTGGACCAATAAGACCAGAAAAAAATATGACGTCCATACGACGTCTTCCATGGTACAAGTTGACGTCTTAACGATGTCTTTCTTTGACTAATAAGACGTTAAAATCACGACAAAATATGACGTCCATACGATGTCTTTCTGTAGTACAAGTTGACGTCTTAAAGACGTCTTTCTTTAACTTATAAGACGTAAAAATCACGTCAAAATATGACGTCCTCATGACGACGTGCGCGGGTGCAAAATCATGTCTTTTTGACGTCGTGTTATGTCGTCTTAAAGATGTCTTTCTTTAACTAAAAGACGTAAATATGACGTTCATATGACGTCTTCCTATGGTACAAGTTGACGTCTAAAAGACGTCTTTCTTTAACTTATAAGACGTAAAAATCACGTCAAAATATGACGTCCTCATGACGACGTGCGCGGGTGCAAAATCATGTCTTTTTGACGTCGTGTTATGTCGTCTTAAAGACGTCTTTCTTTAACTAAAAGACGTAAATATGACGTTCATATGACGTCTTCCTATGGTACAAGTTGACGTCTTAAAGACGTCTTTCTTTGACTAGTAAGACGTAAATATGACGTCCATACGACGTCTTCCTAAGGTACAAGTTGACGTCTTAAAGACGTCTTTCTTTGACTAATAAGACGTAAAAATCACGTCAAAATATGACGTCCTCATGACGACGTGCGCGGGTGCAAAATCATGTCTTTTTGACGTCGTGTTATGTCGTCTTAAAGACGTAGTACAAGACGTAAATATGACGTGATATTTACCAGTCTCTGCTATCAGGGACCTTTATCAATATCGCCTCATGCAGCCTCATGATATATAACCCAATGACATAAACCTATACAACTATACTTCGAAAGTGATTCATCCCAATATAACAGTCAACTTTACCACCATTAGCTCAGTACATCAAATCTTCACTAACATCACATAACAGTTACTGTATAGCGGCATCCAACATATATGTCACCAAACACACATAAAATACATGATTACAATTCAACAAAGTGATTAAAAGTACCTACTTTGATTCCAGCAATTCCTTGTTACATTCAGCTAAAGCAGCTCTCTATATCAACCGTTTAGGGACAGTGTTCTGAGTTTAATCTAATGAGTATCTTACAGTACAGATGCTTGTTTTTACCCTTTTTCCTAACAGAGGGGTGAATGGGGGAAACCACACGGTCACTGTTTATGTTACAGCTGCACAAGGACATAGGGCCTACTGTTTGGGGGATTATGAAGTTGCTGACCCGGGCGTAAACACAAGCTGATAAGGAGAATTATCAACTTATGTGGAAACTCTCTCCTCACTGCTCTGTATATAGAATGCCAGGAATCAAGGCAATAATGTTACATATATCATAAGAAATTATATACCTGAAATAAATGCATATAATGGTACATAAATAATATAACTCAAGACACATAAATCAGTGTTATCCAGGTTTAGTTGGTTGTACAGAGTTATATCTAGATATGGGGGGGGGGGGGGGGGCTGGCAAGTAGGGTGTTGAGCAAATCACCATCTCACATCTGGAAACGAGCCTGCCAATTTAGAATGCACATTATTCCTCTTTACAAACATGCAGGCATGGTAAAATACCTCTCAGACTAATTTTTTACTATTACTATTATTATATTATTATAAAGGCTAATTAACAGCAAACACCATTGTTTGTATCTCCCGTACGTCATTCACATTTCATTTCATTGGGGCGTATATACACGGACATCCGACATAATATATATCCTTACACCCTCCCACATGGCCACCGTGACAAACAGACACATTTATATATCGCATGATCAGATTTTGTGGACTACCTGTAATCCAAATAAAATGCAAATAATGCACATCTTTCTTATCTATTTGCAGCTGTTGGTATATTTTGTCACATTGCAGGGCTTCTAAATCTAATCCACATCATATAGCATAGGTATAATTTGTAAACATATATATAATAATCAGTCTACACATTATTCTCAACTGTGTATCTCAGCTGTACGTAATTATAGTATAATATAGGCCTACACCTTCACAATATCATACCTCTCAGTCATAATGTAACAAACCACGCCCCTTTCTCGAGAAAAGCAAGTATTGTTTATATACGTACTTCCCTAGCTACATCCAATCAACATGTCCATGCTGGAGAGAGGCACGTCAGGAAAATCGCCAGATCTCAACAATAAAGAATAATAATAATGAAGGCCGAGTACAGCTAGAACGGTAAATAACACATGCATGCCGACCGTGTTTTACAATACAGTATTACACTTTAGCTGTGTAGTTAACTGTACGTGCTGCAAGGTCAGAGGGTACAGCACTGGGCATTTGGGCATTATGTACGGAACCGTCATATTACAAGAACCAGACATCGTCATCCATTGAAACGCGACGGCTTTGTGAAACAAAGCCCTGGTTTCCAGTGGCGGATCCAGGAATTTCTTACCGTCAGGGAGGGGGGGGGGGGGCACAAAATCGCATGGTGTGAAATATATGAAAAACGATGGAGCAAAGCGACCAAGCGGAGGTGTTTCAGAACCCCCTCTTAGCAATTTTAGGCACTCCCTGGAGTAATATGACATAAAATTGCTTTCTCCTACCCCCTCCAAGAGAAGGGATCTTTTGCAATTTGTGAACCACATTTGGCGAACCACATTTGGCGCATTAATGTCCACCGGCACTTCCTGGAGAAAAAATTGAGGCGTTCTGATTGGTTAGAAGTTAGAGAAAAGTGATCTGTCACGTCGCGAGACGTTGTATATGCGACGGTTGTCTGGTCTTCACCAGTAGTGCAAAAATTATCTCGAGTGTATAAACTGAGTTGTTATCAGGGGCGCCGCTAGACCCTTTTCAGTGGGGGGGGGGGGGGGGGGGGGGGGGTGAAGAGGCGAAAGCTTTGACACTTAATTAAATTATTAGAGAAAGAAGACGATTCGTTGTACCGTTTTTGACTCTTGATCATTGTCTTAATTCCGTCTCCCCCTCCCGCGCGAAGCGCTGAAACTTTGTCGTTTCATTTAATTATTACTCTTAATCCCGTGGCTGAATTCATTTTCGCCGAAGCTTTGACGTTTCATTAAATTATTAGAGAAAGAATTCATTGTACCGTTCTCGACTCCTAATACTAGTCTGAATTCAGTTGTCCCCTCCAGCGCGAAGCGCGGAAGCTTTGACTTTTCATGAATAGAGAAAGAAGACGATTCGTTGTACTGTTTTTTTTTACCCTTAGTCATTGTCTGAATTCAGTTCCCCCCCCCTCCCGTGCGAAGCTTTGATGTTTCATCAAATTATTACTATAAAGATGGACAAAAAAATCCTGATGGTTTTTTTAAAGCACATTCTAATCATGAAAGACTGAAAAGATCCTTGATAAGAAACATAATTACATCGAACTGAGATGAATAGGGGCAATTGTGAGAATGGAAAGGGGCTTCATTGAGATTATAATAGAGGCATTTCAGGTGTGAGAATTAAGGGGCATTTATGAGAAACGGGAAGTGACTCTTCATTAATAAAGAAAAGGGGCATTTATCAGAATTAAAAAATGGCACGTATTACAAAGAAATGAGGGGCAATGATAAAAGGGGTAACTTATTAGAGGTGAGAACTAGGTCCAGATGAAAAGGGGCCCTATTATCACAAGGGGAATTAGGGGCACTTGACTTATTTAAAAAGAAAAGGGCATTTGTCAAAGTAAAGTAGGCATCTCTCACTTATAAGGGGCATTTATAGTTTATCTTGAGAAGTAAAAGGGGCACTGCATAATTATGTAGGATATTTGAAAAAGTGCGGGGTGGGCGTGTATGTCGAAAGCTGGTCTTGGTGCACAACACCAACACCAAACTTAAAATTGAAATCACTCAATTTCTGTTAAAGGTAATACAAAGTTTTGGTATGGGGTCATGAATTTGGTTTAAATGAAAGTATTTGAAGCATATGCGATCCTACAATATATAGTGATCGTTGTTCCGGTTGAAATCGAGTCTAAAGTGATGAAATTGTAAATAATAAACTCTTTATGTTGTATAGCTCCCTCTCAAGGTCAATATATTAATTTAGCTAAAAAAACAACGTTTCTTGATTTAAATCGACCGATTGGCTATTCCCATTTGGAAATTATATATCACAACTGCATATTCTGAGATTTTCATGGTCGCAACTACCATAGTACGGCCGTAGGCGCTATTTGAAATTTATCAAAATTTACCGGGAGCACCGGTAAATTTTTATATTCAATTTTTCTCGAAAGCAGAAGTGTTTTAGGGACTAAATTTTCTAGGGCTTATAATACATCCACAGGGACATCCAAATATATCAAAATTGTAAAGAATCACTATCCACCCAATTTTCAAAATTTCCCAAAACTTTGTAATACCTTTAAGTTTCAACACCAGTAATAAACATAGCACTAAATTTCACGTATGCGATGTGCGCATGCGCCCATCTGAACCGGCTGTTGTTTGTTGGCAGACTGATTTCTCGATTGTAACTCCAATTTTCTGTTTTGGTAATTATTTCCTTCGAAATAACGTCACTTCACATGTATTATAGTTGGCATACTCGTGACAGTTACAGTAAATATTTGTTGTAAGTGTTATTGTTAACTTTGTTACCTGTAGTTGTAGACCCTAGTTTGTATTCGGAGATTGTGCAGCACGTACGAATACGACCAGCCGAGCTGCTGCCTCCCTGCCACAGCTAGGGCGGCGTTGTTGTCTCTCATCCTGATCCTCTAATGCACGAGCCGCAGCTCAGCTCAGCTCAGTGGCTGGGCGGGGCCACACGTACACACAGCTGCATTATCCTGGCTGTGTATTAAAAGCTGTTTTATTGATTCTCAACAATTCAAAACACAACTGCTAGTTCAGAAGCCTATCCAAAATTTGACCCGTAACTCCGGCGTGGAGATACCCCACTAAAACATACCCGAAATGAAGTAAATATTCATCAAATGTTATAAAGATCATGACTTGAGTTAAAAGTCGTTTTGTTTTCTTAACTGTTTCGTGTCAATTTTCTTGATATTTTTGAAGTATTTTTCGGAAAAAACGTTGATATTAGTATATACTTTTTCACAGGTTTCCCGGCAAACCAAAACAAGTGCATACTGATGGTGGTATGTTGCGGGCGAGCGCGCGCCTGTGTAAAGTTGTCAACCGTAATGAGGATCTGAGACATTACATTAATTTGTTTTCATCTTTAACCCTTAAAACAGGGAAAAAATTACTATTTATTTTTCGGGGGCTACTTTTCAAGCTTGCATGCATGAAAATAACAATCTAAAATTTGTTTTGCATTGAACTCTGTGCAAATTTACAGGGGCTCTTTTCTGATTTTCGGGGGCTATTTTGGGCATTTCGGGGGCTAATTCGCCCCGAGCCCCCGTGTATTTTTTTCACTGCCTTAAAATCACAATTTCTAATGCATTTTAATGATTTTAATCATTTTACCCACAGGAAAATAGAACGTGCAGGACAGGTAGCAATTTCGAACATTGATAAACAGTTTCTCTTCATCATTTTTAGTCAAACTCAGAGTAGATCTGGCCCTAGATCTATGTAGTACATGACTTTAGATGCATTTTTGTTTGTTTCTTTTCATATTTACAGAACAAAGTGCTTGGTTTGTGTTACATACTTGGTATAGAATGGCTGGGACTGAGAAAACTACTTCAGAAGGTGATGCTTCGAATGCAGGTACGTGGCCAGAGTAGAACATTCCTTCTGACGCAACCTTGTTTACATCTGCAATAAACTCCCCATCCCCCCCCCCCCAAACAAAAATATAGCTGCAGCAAAACAAAATGGCATCTAGCTGAAGCGCAACGTTTCCTATAATATGTAAATAAGTATGTATTTCATATAAAGAGGCATTTATTTATCCCATTTTAGCTTGGAAAAGCTGCTTGAGGGAAAGTATTATCAGGGTTCTAGGTTCTATTCTGGCATGCATTTGCTTTTTGTTCATTTTTATTTTTCCCAGCCTGGCTTCCCGGTCTTTTCATTTACATGCAATTAATAGTCATCTATCAAACTAAAAATCCTAAATTGCTGAGGTAGTAAAAACTGATAACTATGTCGGTGTGTTTCCTTTCAAGTGGTTATAAATCTTGTACCGGTACTCTCTTTCATTGAGTTACAAAAGATGATATGTATTTGATTTTTTTGTTGTTGAAATAAGATTACTTAATTAGTATTCTTGATTTAAAACAAATATATACGGTAATTCATAAGGAAAAGAAACTAAAGAAACCAAAACAAAACAGCAAAGCACCTCATTCTTACAGGTTTAGATTGCACTTTTGTGCTTATTTAATTTTTTTTCCTTCATTTTTTATTACAAAGTTTTAAAATCATTTGTTTGTATTGGTATTTGTATTCAGATCCGAAACCATTTGATGCAAGCCTTTTCTTTCAAAGTGAAGCAGAGAAGCCCTCCTCACCAAGTTTTCCTTCTGAGAGTCCCTTCATGGAAAAACCTAGTGATACACTCCAAAGTACAATGGAACAGTCCAGTGATAAGACAGGAGGAAGTGGAGAGGAAGCAAGAGAAAATGACCAATCTGGTCCACTTGTAAAGGACACGCAGCCTTCAGTAACCAGCTTCTTTACTAAAGACCAGAGCTTGATCCAGAGTTCTGGGAGCTTCTTTGATTCATTTGCCAGTGCCGTTGGAGACGAGAACGACTTGTTCTCAACACCACCCTCATCCGTTGGAGCAACGCCAGTCTCGCCAGAAGGCCGTGGAGGATTCATGGAGGATCCTCTGGGGATATCAGCTGAAGTTTCGATGAATGCTGCAGAAGAAGTAGCAGGAGTTAACAGTGAGACAGTGAGCATTGATTCCACTAATCTGCTCACTGAAGAAGATGCTAAGATGGGGAGCGGAAGTAACATGGACACCATGAGCATGGATTCTACAAACCTTTTATCAGAGGAGGACAAGGATGATCAAAGCGTTGATCAGGGCAATGAGAGCTTTGAAGCAAAGAATGATCTGGTGGAGGAGGATGGAGAAATGGAAACTGCAAAGGGAGCACTTGAGACAACTATCTCACTGGAAAGTCCAGAGGCGGAGACAACGGTGATTGAAGAGGGAATAAACGATGCTGCAGCTGAATCAAACAATGGTGACAAAGATGAACCTGTAGCAGTTGCTTCTGCTGTGGTAAAGCCACCAGAGACTGTTCCTGATCTACCAAAGGATGATGCTGACTCGAGCTTGGATGTCAACGATAAGGTCGCTGTTCCTGATACGCAGGTGACGACTCCGAATAAATCAACCACCATTGAATCACAAGGGCCATCCTCACCGCCTCTATCAGTCACTTCCCAAGAAGACACGGTCACCGACTCCTCCGACTCTTTGGGTGTTCCGCCTGCCCTCATGTCGTCCTTCAGCGCTCCATCAGGTCTCACCAATCCCAACCCGGTCAGGCCCCATGTGCCGTTTCAGTCCAGCGCATCGCAAGAAGATGATGATGACCCGTTTGTAGAAGCGCTCCGTACCAGTGAGAGCGATCGTCGGCACGATGCCTGGATACCCTCGGAAGCCACTCAGAAGATTTTAGTAAACCGTAGTATTGCCCTGCAGGGATCAGAGTACGTGATCAGGGATCAACTCACCATGCCTGGTATCATTGCCGAAGAACCACAGGTAGGAAGCTATTATCATCCATCTACATGTAGCAGTTAATAGTACTTTAAGAGAATCAACAACTGTACCCAGCATTTCTTCTCTTGATTAAGGGAACCAAATGTAAATCAAAACTTGGGGGGGGGGGGGGGGTGGAGGTATAACGATTATTTATCAATAGTACATGTCTTTGCAACATCAAAAATATTAAGCCATTACACTGTAAATGAGAAGGAAAGTTATCAGAATTTATGAAAGGCATTCACAAAAAAGTAAAATTCAATTTTTTTTCTTCCCTGAAACTTTCCAACATGCTCAAAATTTGCCCACTTTGTGACCCTAGATATCAACTGATAATGGAGATGAAAACATGAATGGAAATGGCATATGTAATCAGAAATGCAATTGTAATATCATCATAATGATCCTGATAATGATAATATTTGTTTTTATGACCATGGGGGTGTTTCACAAAGATCCTAACACTAAGTTGGACTTAAAAATTATGGAGCGCCATTTGTAGCTTTAAAATGAAATATATTAAAAAGCAGAAATTCAAGTATTTTAGACTTTTTATAAATTTCACATCAAGAACATGAAATCTCCTTGATGATAAAAAAAACATTTTATGCCTTTCAAAATAGCTTTTACAAAATATTTCAGAGATGCTAATGGCTTTCCATAATTTTTAAGTCCAACTTAGAGTTCAACTTATGACCTTTGTGAAACACCCCCCATGTTAATTAATTTTTCTGTAACAGGGTGATCCAATCAAAGAGCTAGTACAGAGGTACATGGGTGAGCAAGAATCCGCTAAACGATCTGTTCTCACCGTAAACCAAGTCACGAGAGATGAGCATGGCCTTAAAAGGTTATTGGTAAGTAGTAGTCACAATCAGGAGGGCTTTTCACAAAACCTGTCATCAGTTACAAATGACAGTTTTTGTTATAAGCTACTGAAATCCTTGCTTCTGATTGGTTATCTGCAGATTTGTCACTGATTTTTGTCATTTGTCATTGAAAAAGGCTGTGTGAAATGGGTCCCTGATCATTTCTGTGCTGATCCATTTCCATGGAACAAACTCCCACAAAGTATTCATATACTACAGTAATGTTCAGATCTCACGGTACGTGAATTATCTGCAGGGGAATTATTAGTGGTCGTTATGGACAGGTGGCTGCTAAGGCAGGTTTGACTGTACCAGAACTTTTATCAGTTTGACAAGAAAATAGCAATTGTAGTTTAATAGGAAAGTGCACACATCCAATGGAGATCAGAACTATCAATTTTTGGGAATAGTGATCAAACTGGCAACATTTGCTCCGGACTTAAGTTTAAAGAGAAGGTTGAGTTCTGGAAAGAGGTGAAAAATAATTTGTGAGCGTTATCATTGTTATTATGCAAGTGTGGAAGAACATCGGATAAAACATGCTCCCTGAAAAGCATGGCTCTTCAAATGCCTTCATATTCTAAATATGGCAGGTAACATCGTAAAAATCGGGACGGATATTTACGCCACGTGTTCGTGTAGTCCCATATACATCTTTCTGTGTACAATGCTTGTAACTTTACCAAGACTTGGCCAAATTTCTTATCATTTTGATGATTCCAGAACCTTGCGATACGGTACACACAAATACTTATATGCTAGATGATCAAGCTTTTCTGATCGACTGACCATGAATCGCATGACCAGAACTCAACTTTATCTTTAAGGGTTGCGATTGGGTTATAGGGTTGGGTTTCGGGTTAGGGTTTGGTATAGTATTAGTATATTGACTTGGACCAGCCATCGCGAGAGCATATACATCATACATGTACATGTATGGTAGAATCTGGGTAAATAGTTTGCACGTGCGTAATATCATCTGGGAAGATCCAGAAGGGCGTTAATTGATATAATTAGCATACTTGTAGCCTTAAACAGACGATCCAGTCCTATAAACATGTTGTTTTGATGATGTGTATCAGGATGCAGGTTGTCTTCGTGCTGCGGTTGACCTGACAGGTCTTCTATTGACCTCTGGAGCTCAGGGCAAAGGTCAAGCTGGAATGCCATCAAGACACACCCCTCATCTCATGCAGGTGAGACAGAATGCCTCTTATACAGAGTGAGTCAGGAAAAATGTCCCACTTTTTAAAAGTTGTATTGTTAGAACTTCAAAATACTATTTTATTCCTCACCCAGCAACTTGGCGCAAGTGAGACCTGGCAGTCTTGTAAAGATTGTCTGATGTTCAGTCATGCGTGCAGAAATCCAAATGAAAATGGTACCTAAATGTACCAGGAGGATAACTCTATCAAGGCATTAGATGAAACCCATGATTAAATATTCATACTTCAAACAATACAACTTTTAAAAAGTGGGACATTTTTTTTTCTGACTCACTTTGTAGTGCTTGTTCATCTTCTTACTTTTCTTATTGGATGTTCTGGTGCCACCCATATAAGCCAGTTCACTGTTGCAGTCTGAGCATGAGCAGATAAAGGTCATTGCAGAACAAATAGTGAAATACCCGGAGACGAGGTGTATACACAGGTGGAAGTATTCTTTGAAAAGGGGAAACAAAGGCTATTTATGTAGCACGTCCGTCGCTGTAGGAGTGATAATTTCAAAATGTGCAAAGTGGGACCTCATGATGTTTTGAAGATCGTTGGATATTCGGGGCCATTGCAGAAATGCGCTAACCGTGAACTGGTCTATTACATTCATGTTTTAAAGAATAGCAACAGTTTTTAACTTTCCAATGATATATAACCTAACAAAGGCGGTTGCTTCATTGCGCGACTAGTGAAATTATATTTCATTGTAGATGGTGCTCTTTAATGCAAACATATTAATGCGAGGAATTTGTAATACTTTTATAATCTTTGAATGGGTATGTCTTCTAACATCTTGTACTGCCCCCCTTCCCCGTCCCTCTCTCTCTCTCTCTGTCTCTCTACCTCTCTCTCTCCCTCTCTCTGAGTCTCTCTCTCTCTCTCTGTCTCTCTCTGTCCCTCTCTCTACCTGTTTCTGTCTCTCCCTATATCTGAGTTTCTCTATCTGTCTCCCCCGTCTCTCTCTCTCTCTCTCACTCTCTCTCTGTCGTTCTCTCCTCTAGGTATGGTTCACTAGGATATCTGTATTGATGAAGTTACAGCAGTTCACTGCAGCAGAGCAAGAGTTGGATGCTTTTGGTAACATGGATAAGCCTGATCTCTTCTATGGCTACTACCCGGATCTCTACCCAGGCAGACAAGGTGATTTTCACAAATCCTCTATCAGCCTTTTCACACAGGGGTAAAATTCATTGTATCTAGAGAGCAAGGCGTTTTGTGTGTGAACGGATATACGTCCTTAACTAGACCGGGCAATGCTCTTTAAACGCTCAGTAGGGCCTTTGGGCATTTACGGGCAGTGAGTCACTGCCCATAAATGCGCAATGTCACTGCTCGTAAATGCGCAATAGCCCTACTGAGCGAGTGAATCTCGAACGACCGCACCAAAATTTTCTGTGTGTGAATGATGTTGTATCTAAAGCTGTTTAAACTAATCAGCTTTAAAGAATTTTACCCCTGTGTGAAAAGGGAGTATATCCCTACCTAGTGTTCAGCTCCCAGGCACAAACCCTTGTATGCATAACAGAGGGTCTGATCTACAAGTAGGAGAGTATACAGAGACCCCAGTCCATAGGCCCTGCACAGCCAAAGACCGACAAAGTTGGGCTCGGTTCCAGACTTTATGGAATTTTGTTTAGGCGTTGAATTAGTGTCTGTGTCTGCGGACGACCAGTCACCAGGGGTGTGGCGATGGAGTGGGGGGGGGGGGGATGACAGTACCCCCCTTTTCACCCCATCCTTCTCTTATATGGTACACAGACCCTCACCCAAACAACCAAGGTGATTTTCGCACTAATCCAATTGTTATGCCCTAGTCGCTGATGGGGCGCATGCGCTGACCCATGCCATTGGAAACTAAAAATAGAGAGAGAAAGAGAACAGGAAAGAGCTAGTGAGCTAGAGAGGGAAAAGAGCATAAAAATATAACCAATTTAACCAATTTCAATGTATTGTATTTTAATGTAATTTTTAATCTTTTGTAAATTCATTTTGTTTCAGCCTTTGGCTCCTATTTTGAATGTATTAATGTGTTAATTAAATTCCATCTCGATCTTTTCTTGTCAGGTTCTATGGTACCCTTCTCATTTCGTTTGATCCATGCTGAGTTAGCTATGTATGTGGGCAAGCATCAGCTATGTCTGGACAGACTTTCTGCCATTCTGTCTGTTTGTCACAAGGTAGGAATCTGTGTGTGAGATGAGTAAACACTATGAACATGACGGACAAAGAAAGAGGACAAAATATGCAGTTCCTCATTCTACCCTCAACAATTGCTGTGCTAGACAAAGACCACCGTAATTATTATTTATTTTTTTAAAGTTTCGATTTATGTCCCTCCGCCTGGCAATGTCTCCCAGCTCAGTAATCGGTGTGTTGACTCACCACTCGGAAACTAGAACAACAATCAAATTTGTCTGTCATCTTGGTTTGAAAGTAATCTTTCTGATAGATCTCAATATGTAGTTTATAATAATAATTCCTCCAATTTTTCTTCTATTACACATGGTGTATCACAAGGTTCTATCCTAGGTCCTCTACTGTTTTTTGATTTACATTAATGATCTTACACATTCAACTGCACCTCGCAGTTAAATGAAAGGCCTTCCTGCGTGGGTTTTTTCACACGGACCTGGCTTGCTGCCAAAGAGGGGTGCGGTTAATACACGAGGGCGGTTTATACAATGTTAATTACAATAGTATCTTGCAGAGAAAAAACAACAACATCACTCTACTGCAAAATTAAGTAAATGAGAAACATGTATACAATGTTAATAACGGTAGTATCTTGCAGAGAAAAAACAACAACATCACTCTACTGCAAAATTAAGTAAATGAGAAACATGTAAGCAAAGTCAGTTCATGTTTCTGAATCTTCTAACACGCAGATCAGGGAGTTGCACACACTTTTTTCTTGGGTTTTCACTCCACTGACCATTCAATTGCATGCAAAATGATTCTACAATTCAATTCAATTCCATCCAATGCATTTATTTGTCCAATATGAATTCAAAATTGATATTTGCTTCTCCCACCTGTAAAAAAGAAAGGCGCAGACGTCGTTTACAAAGAAGATGAATAGGATACAAAATATGGATACATTCTGAAGACGACAAATATTAACCATATATAATATCGATTTTTGTTTGGTTATGGCTTGTTTCGCTTCCTAAAGCTACGGTCAAAAAGGTTCGTAAGAACGATTCGTTCGTACGAATCTCCCTGTTTTTCCATGGTTTTACCGAATTTCCATGGTCTGAAAATCGTTCGTACGGCATTCTTAGAAGTTCGCAATGGCATTGGTGACCGAGGCTTTAAATCACATAATTTAGCTGTCTTCATGCATATTTATGAATGAAACATTTTGATCATTGAAATTCAAAGCTCTTTGTTTGAATCTTTCTGTTGTCTCTGTGTTCTGTTGTCATGGGTAGATTGTGAAGAATCTACAAGATGGAAAGTCCGAGTATGGCCAGTCTGTGGAGCTTGCAGAAGAGAATAGGAAAGGTAAGAGGATTGATGAACATGCAAGGAATTGATTATTTGCATTTAGGCTTAAACAAAAAAGATGTTGTATTGCCCTTTAGGTACGAAAACATGGGTCGTTGGTTGGAAGTCTTTTTTTTTTTTCCTTTTTTTCCCCCTCCCTCTTTGGGCTGATATTTCTCAGTTTTTGCTTTAATACATATTTTTTGTATTAAATACATATTAAACATATTTTTTTCATAAAACATTAAAAAAAAACTTTTTCAAAAAGCCGACCATAGATTTCAAGATTTTGGGTCGGTTGCAAAGGGAAATACAAGATATTTTTTTTAAACGCCTTATATAGCTCTAGCATGTGCACATTTGGTTTTCGATCGATTTGATATCAAAAACAAGTGTGACAATTCAATGACAAAGCCACTCAAAGCCAATCAAATGCAATTATTTCAGTAGCTTGTAACAAATATTGTAATTTGTTATTGATAACAAGTTTTATGAATCAAGGCCCACATTATCTTTTCCTGCAGAAATGTTAAATGCGAACTAGAATTAAAACTGCTGCTATTACTTCAGACTCTGCTTGAAATATCAATTACAGTTACTTTCAAATTTCTTCTATTTAAAATCAGAATGGGAACACAGATAACCCTGCATAAGTCGATCTTGACTGGACTGAGTGAAATGCTTTAACTTAGGCAATATTTGACTTTCGCATATATGATACATGTATATTAGGCTTGGGAGCGAGAGCCGAGTACCCGACTCTAACCGATTCTGAAATCCAGAACCGAGGAGTCGACTCCAATCTCTAGAGAGTCGATTACTCGAGCACGTCGGTTCCGAGAAAAGGAGACTCGGTTCCAAGATAAGAACCGAGTCTTTAGCGCTGGAGTCGACTCCACAGCACTAAAATTCAAAGAGATACTTTGCAAAAGTGAACGAAGGAACATTGCCCGAACGAACTGGTGTCGATTCCACAGCACAGAGAATGAACAAAATCAGCTCTGTCAAAGCAGAATGCATGCGAGCGATGGGCGCACTAGCAGCATGCTGTTTTGATACACACATTTGTGTGTGTACCTCCTTCGTAGTACTGTGCATCACTGCTGCATGTTGTCTGTAACTGCCCCCCCCCCCCCAGCTGAACGTTTGACCTTTGGTGAATTGCGCAAGAGTCTTGGAACAATGGCCCCATTTTCTCTCCTCTTGGAGCGTGTGATCAAGGAGTTGATTCATGTTTTCTCTCGTGCGCACACTGATTTATGTGACTTTGTGTTTGCTCTCTCTCTCTCTCTCTCTATCCCTAGTCTCCCCTTCCCCTAGACATCAGACGTTTAGTTTTCTTCCTCAAATAAACTAAATCACACAACTCACAATTTCCTCCTCCTTTCTCTCCCTTGAATTCTCCTCATCAAGTTTTATTCTTCTTAAAAATAAGTTTGACAGGTCTACAATTTACATGTACATTCCCCCTCCCCCTTTATCTTGTTTCCTTCAGTTATTTTGTTTTCCTTACAAGAATAAATGTGGCAGGTCAACATCTCCCCTTCTCCCTTTCTCTCCCCCTCTAGCATCCCCTTCTGTTATTATTTTCGTCTCAAGAATAAGTTTTGCAGATCTACATCTCTTTGTCTTGTGTTCTTTTTGGGGGTATTTAAACAAATAAGAATAATTCAGGCAAGTCAAGTGTCCCCTCTCGCTGTGGCATTAGCGCAATCTCTAATAGTGGCTGAAAATGCAGACTAGTTATTCTGAAACTAAGATCTAGCGCTGTTATCTGTTGTTTAGAAAGCACGTGGTTAGTAGTAACCATGGGAATGGAGTGCCACGAGCTGGGGCTGGGGTCATTAAAGTTTTTGGGTGGCATTGGGCGGGCGGGCGGCCATGTGAGCATGAGTTATTTACACTTAGCTCTCAGATAAAGGTTGGTCCCTGGGAGGAGAGCCAGCGGACCAGGCATGTTTCGGATACATTCCATTTATTTTAGGCAGGGAATCAGAATCTTTAGTTTTACATAATGGATTGTTTACCGTAATATTGGAAATAATTGTTCTGCATTTCTTACATTTTAGCAGTGTAAGTACGAGTTGATTATTCCATCATTCTATGTTGAAGTTTAGAATTTAAATTAGACCTAACATGTTTTTGTTTGTTTACATTGTTGCCAAGTTGCCATGAGTTATTAAATAATTAATTACTTTATTAGCAGTGGTAATGTTTTTTTCTCGATTTGATCGAAAGTAGTAAAATAAATCATTTCATAACTGTTTATGAAGGTCTGCACTTTGATCTTCTTTATATATTGTTTGCATGTAATTGTAGAGATATCATGAGACGAAACAGATATAAACAAAACATCAATTTACACACACAAGTCACACATACATTCATACTTTTGATACTCATTTTTAAAAGTAAAGTTTTCCAAAAAAATATCTCAGAAAATCATCTGTTGCTATCGGTGCCACTGCTGAGTGGAGCCGACATGCACAGTACATAACATACAGTGTGTCAACACCTCCCTGGTGTGTGTGTGTGTGTGGCCTTTACAGCATTGTGGCTTCAATTACATGTACTGTAATATGGCAGCCAGCGGGAGTCGATTCCACTTGGAACCGAGGCCGAGAGTGGGAACCGGAGTCGGTTCTCATCAACAAGGGAACCGCCCAAGCCTAATGTATATGTGCTGTATATTGGCCCTAGCCTTAACATAACTTAAGAACGCTGTGCCGAGACACAGGCGGCGGCTTAACTGAGATTATATTTCTTCCCGTGCCATCATTTGTTGTGCAGACATCCAGAAAACCAAAGCATACATTCATGTACAAAAAAGTAATACTCCTGTTACAACTTTGGTGATAAATAAGAATAAAACCAGACATAATTAATTCCTACTTATAAAATCCTTTGTATGGCCCTGTAACCTGCGGCTTCCCTAGCTTCCTATTGAGGTCTTGCATCGAGTCCTCTTTCTGCGAATTGGAAATTCGGTTACGCACTGTTCGCAGGTTGACCATGAGATGGCGCTGTGTAATGAACAATACGCTAGGGCAGAGAGTTCAGTTCAGCATCAATATGATGTTTCAAATGGTCATCATTTTGAATTTTTTTTTTGTGTTCCTAGCATCTTTAGATCTGTGGGAGAGTAGACAAATCCGAGTTCTTCACTCCGTGGGAAACTGCTTAGTCAGCATGAAGGTATGTACAGACAGACAGCAGATACGGAGGCTTCTCATGCAAGTGTCATGCTGTAGAGTACTTAAAGCCTGTGTGCACTGGTTTGGCCAGGAGGGATTTGACCGCCCAGGGTGGTCACTGACGGGTGGTTATCTCATCAACTCAGCTCTCAATTAACATAAGAAAAAGAGGATCATGGGGGACCAACGGGCACCGCTTAGGCATTGTTTCTATATAGAGGGAGCAAGTAGCTTCAAGTAGTGCGGTGGGGCAGTAATAAGAGTGATTGTGTGTTTGTGTACGTTTTGCGCGAAACATATGCTGCGTTGTCTTGCGTTCCGGAAAGACCCCCATTTGTTAAGGAAAAATGTGGTAAATGTTACTGACAACCATCCCATAGGGTTGGCATCTGTGAATTAGTACCCAATATGCTAGAGCGCTGTTGGAGTGTGCTACATTAAAAAGCCATCATTATCATAATCAATTACATTTTCATTTCATCAAATGTGTATGATTTGTCTTATTGCTTAATAATATACCTGTCTTGGTAACAGACGTTCTTGGAAGACATTGGTCGTGCATATTCACTGACTGGAATTATGAATAGTTAAATAGGACAGTAATCGCCCTTCATTGTTGATATGATAAGATATGATTCTGGATTTGTTTTTCAGGAGTACATGCAAGCTGTGAATGTCTTCAAATCACTGGTAGTGAAAGAGCCTGAGAATGAAATCAACATATTGTGTGGTATTGCCAGGGTGTACCTTCAGGTTAGTCTTGATTTAAATTCCTCTTGATTTAAATTCCTATGTTAAAGATGATTATTCTCTGAGATGGGTTTAGATTGTGTGCTTTATTAAAAGGGACTTGGTAACATTGTTCAGATGAGAGAACATGGTGCAAATTAAAGTAATGACTTCAATGCTAGATGTACAATTAAAGATAATCTGAGTTTGAGTGAAAACAGACCAAAATCTGGAAAAACTGATCTGATCGGTTCCTTAAAGGGACTTGGTAACATTGTTCAGTTGAGAGATAGTGGTGCTAAGGTAGTGACTTCAATGCTAGATGTACAATTAAAGATAATCTAAAAGTTTGAGTGAAAACAGACCACTATTATTGATTTTAAAAAATCTGGAAAAACTGATCTGATCGATTCCTTGCTTCTCCCAACTTTATTATTACAATTTAATTAATGAAGCAAAAGCAATGAACTGGCTCTTTATACCATTCCAGACATTTGAGTGTTGAAAGATTTATAAAAGCCGTCTTATTTGTTATTTTCATGGAAAAACGGTTGGGAAAATTAAAAAATGTTTGGGAGAATTTACTGTTAGAGGGTGTCTCACAGTGACGCCTTCAAAGAAAACCATAAATATCTTTGTAGTTTGAGAATTGTTTCAGGATTTTTTTCCATGTTAGAGGGTTAGTACAGTAGAAGGAATATAATAAGTAACATTTCATGCAAAAATGACACAGTTTTTTCATCAACCTTCACAATGTTACAGAGTCACTTTAATAGCATTTACAAATAAAACAATGATTATCGATGATTGAAGCAGTAATAATGATTATGATATTGATACAGACCATTTCTGTCTCACAGTTTAAGCCTAGATCCCATTACAGTACTTCCAAGTTTCTTTGAATTCTTTCATACAAGTAACCCATTTATTACATAATTATAGAAATTCAGCAGATTGTAAACTGGTCATTAAAGCACAAAGAACTTTTGCAAATTACATTAAATTACAATGTGGTGTCAATTAATATTTGATTATAATGCAGCATGAAAACTCTCATAGATCTAAACCATTCAATAAATGTAAAAATATTCTGGTTTCAGAGTCCTTCATTTTGGTCCAGTGTGATACAGATGAATAAACAGTCAAACCTGCTTTAGTGACCACCTGTCTACAAAGAACACATTTGTTGTTTCCCTTTTAAATAGTTTCTCATCGAAACATGTACTATAGGAACCTGTCTACAAAGACCACCTGTGTACAAAGACCACTTTTTGTGTTTTCCTTGGGCGGCCGATATAGACGGGTTTGACTGTATATTGATAAAATACCTATTCTTGAGATGCAATTAAAAATTTGTTATGTTTTAAGTCTCCCTTCTGTCCCTTCTTTTTCTTGGACACTGTGTAGCTTGGTGATCTGAAGTCTGCCCAGGATGTGTACAGTGAGATAGAGAAGAAGATTCCAGCCGGTGGGTCCTCTCCAGGCAAACAGGCTAGAATACATATTAATAGGTCAGGCAAGGCATACTGTGTGAAGCCACCATTGAGAAATGTTTGAGATTGTGTTGAAGTTTTACTGGCATGGCGAGTTCAAATAATGATAATAACAATGATGATGATGCTGATGCTGATGATGATGATAATGATAACGATAATAATGATAATAATGATGATGATGATGATGATGATGATGATGATGATGATGATGATGATGATGATGATAACGATAATAATGATAATAATAATGATGATGATGATGATGATGATGATGATGATGATGATGATGATAATGATGATTTTAATAATAATACAAATAATAATTATGATAATTAGTAATGATAATAATGCTAATAGTAATAATAATAATGATACTGATAATGATAATAGTAATGATAATAATAATAATAATAATAATGATACTGATAATGATAATGATGAGGCCTATATATGTTGCCATCTCTCTGCTCTTAACAAATAGCAATAGAACAAACTTATATGGTATAATTACATAGGCTGCTTAGTGACTTCAATAATGATAGATTATGACAAGAACAACTATTTGATATGACAACGGAATACTTAAACGGATGATGATGGTTTTAAACAAGAATAGAATTGAGCCTTTGGAACACACTTATATTTTCAGTTTGGGTCAATTGGGTGCGTTCAAGCGATTTTTTCAAGCTAGAATCACAAATTAAAACGCTGTTTCAAAACAAGGTTACTGCGGGAGATCGTTCAAGCGATTTTCCATCAACGCTGATTCTCGCTCATTTCAAGCCCACCCAGGAAGTATAGATATAGATAGCGATACTATATATGATACATAACGATGTCGTAGAATCATGATTGAGATCTCTGTTGCGTTCAAGCGATTTTTAGCAAACGTGGTTACAAAACGCATCTTTTTCAGCGTTCCATGTTTGCGTTTTTAAACACGTTTATTTTTACGACCGACAAAAAAATTGCTTGAATGACGTGAACGCAACTGTGTTTTAAACTAAATGTCTTTGAAAAAGTGTCGCTTGAACGCACCCTTCGGTGATTCAATGAATTAGTAACTGTAAATTTCTTGTTTCATTCACAGAGGGTTCCTGAAAGTAGCACAGAATCAGTACGCAGAAGCCTATAAGCATTTCAATGAAGGACTCAAAATAGAACCGACGAACTTCATGGTTAGTACCAATTATTACTTTCAGCATCCTCAGTTTGTAAGTCTTGTCATCATCATATTCTCCCCCCCCCCTCTCTCTCTCTCTCTCTCTCTCTCTCTCTATATATATATATATATTCCTCTCTTATTATCAGTTTTCCCTCACAGTACCGTATTTGCCGGCGTAAATGCAGCAGTATTTTTGGAAGAGAAAATATCAAAAGTCGGGGTGCGGCCTTTGCGGCGAAAGAGTTAAAAAAAAAAAAAAAGGTAAGTCAAAACCAGCACGAATTTGCACATATGGGACTACAAACGGTACAATAACTATACCACTATGGTACAGGACATTTCCACACAGCTTACCGACAATTTTAACTTGCATTGTTGGCATGAAGCCGAAAATAAACTTCCAAAAACAACATCTGCCGATAGATCTTGATCTAAGTTCGTGCCAATGCATTGCAAAAGTAAAAGAAGGGCCCATTTAACGGAGCTGCCGCGAAGCATCCAGCACGCGAATTCGCCATTTTGAATCCATTTCAATATATACACAAGAGAAAACTGCAAGGGATAGCATCAGGGACGGGATGGCCGAGCGGTCTAAGGCGGTGATTTGGGTCATATCAACATTTGTAGGGGAGGGTTCATATCCCGCCTCCGACAATTTTTTTTTTTTTAAATGTCAAAATCAGGGGTGCGGCCTAAGCGGCGCTGCTGCCTTATCGCCGGCAAATACGTTTTTTTTTTTTGTTCCTCTCTTTATCCCTATCTTGCAGTTTGTGTTAAAAATTGAAATTAAGGTAATCCAAGTTTAAATTCCCTTAAAACCATTATTTCAACAATTATAATGATAGGAGCAACTTTCCCAAAGTATTTATTTTTTTCTTTTCTTTTTCTTTCAAGTTCATGAACTTAGACCTGATCATTTGATAGTTGCCATTTCTCTTTAAATCGATTTTACAATGGAAATGTTCAAATGGTTGAATGCGTTACACGTTGTGTTTTTCCTCTGTTACTATTTTGTAGGCAATCAACAATGTCTCAGTTTGCTGCCTGTATCTCGGCAAACTGAAGGAGTCGCTCTCACTCCTAGAGAACCTTGTCAACAAAGACAGCAGCGAGTTCTTAGACGAGTCCCTCATCTTTAATCTCTGCACCCTCTACGAGCTGGAGTCGTCTAAGAGCACCGTCAAGAAACAGAATCTTCTTGGACTAGTCAGTAAACACAAAGGAGATGGTTTTAATGTCAGTTGTCTTAAGATGCCCTAGTTTCTCATCTGTAATCTCTTTCCTTGTCGATGAGGAGAGCAGCGAGTTCTTAGACGAGTCCCTCATCTTTAATCTTTGCACCCTCTACGAGCTGGAGTCGCCTAAGAGCACCGTAAAGAAACAGAATCTTCTTGGACTTGTCAGTAAACACAAAGGAGATGGATTTAATGTCAGTTTATTAAGATGCCCTAGTTTCTCATCTGTAATCTCTTTTCTTGTCAACGAGGAAAGCAGTGAGTTCTTAGACGAGTCTCTCATCTTTAATCTCTGCACCCTCTACGAATTGGAGTCGTCTAAGAGCACAGTCAAGAAACAGAATCTTCTTGGACTTGTCAGTAAACACAAAGGAGATGGATTTAATGTCAGTTGTCTTAAGATGCCCTAGCTTTTCATCTTTAATCATTTTTGCCGGTAAAGCGTAGTTGCCTTGGAAACATCACTGAAACATCGCGGTCAGGCTCCGGTTTGGCATTTTTTTGGCGTGTTCGGATGTAAATGGCCCTATTCATGAATTGAGTGTATCTCAGTACAATAAAGAAATGGCGTCAATCTTGTGAATTTTGAAATGTGGTGATTTTGTCTTTGAATCATGCTCATTCAAGCATGAATTGACAAACACCTCTGATTAAAGGTTCCAGAAAAACCACAGGCATAGTCCTTTCTGAGAAAATTTGTTCAAAACTTTGCAGTTCAGAAATTATGAGGCGTTAAACAGGGTGAACTTACCTTTTGTGTTGTGTTTATATGACCAATGTAAGAACATACATGGCATTTTGAACTAGAGTTCAATAAATGTATCAAATAGAAAAATGTAAAAAGCATTTTTGGCCTGTCAGCTCATAACTTCCAAAAAGTTGGGAAGCCAGCGAGAGAACATAAGATCTAAAATGAAGGTATACACGTTTTGATGAAAATGAGTTTTATCATCCTGAACTTTTGGATATGCTGACGGTCGAGAGTAATAACGGCATTAAAATATTGACTAATATCCTTTATCAGAGTTACTAGCATAGATGACGCATATATATTGAATATTTTTATTATTGTTGTCCATGTATTTCTTGTTATAATGGTTTAATAAGACATTCCTGTAGGTTATGAATGAAGTTGAAACTTAATTGGTTCTTCAGAGTGCAACACTGTATATTTGATCAATTCTTTTTCCATTTTGTTCAATCATGTAGATTACTTTAACTTCTCTTGTCATTTTCTTTAATGATCAGTGCAATATTTATTCATAGATGCAACTTGAATATGAAAAAGACGTTTTTATTTGTTGTTTCGATGTCCTACAGCTCTTTTGATGTCTTTGCCCAAAAATGAACACACAGCTGTAGGTACAGTTTTCAAATAATAAATATGTATATCCCAACATTACAAAATTGGAAGCGGACAATAGAATAAAGATATACAGAAAAATAATCTTGTAATTTTAAATTTCATAATTTATTGCCATATATATATTTTTATGTACACAAATCAACTTACATCTTTGAAACCATCAATGTATAGCATAGAATACAAGTACTGGAATAGATTTGAATAAACATCTTCTTTTTAGGGCAAAGATAATACATGCAGTAACTTGTGTCGTGTAAATAGTATATGTTTTCCCCATATCCATGTCTACAGGTACTTGTTAATTTGTTTCCATTCTAAAGTATTCAAAAAGCGTGACTTTTAGAAAGGAGATGGAATTATTACATCTGTGGAATCGTATATTCTAACACTATACTTAGTTTAAACGACTATGTTTGACTTTGAAAGAATGGAATATATATTACTACATGTACATCTAATTGATGTAAGTGAACTAAAAATGTATTGTATAAAATAAACATAAAAATGAGAGATTAAGGCAAATGCTGTTGTGCTATTTGTGAGTCTTCTTGAAATTTCTGTAGTATTTAAAGAGAATTTTGACAAAATTATAGTTACACAGTTCATACTTCATATAAGCATTGTTTGTATGAATTAATTCATTGAATCGTTTGCCCAGCATAGATCGGAGCTGCAGTGAAAAATCATGCCTGTTATGCATGCATTTCAATTTCAGAAAGATTTTATCTTAAATTACACTGAATCCATGTAATTATCGTACATCTATTTTACAACAATGTGAAAATACAAGAATACAAAAATGAGAAGATACCAGGGGGTGTTTCACAAAGATCCTAAGTCAAACTTAACTCTAAGTTGGACCTAAAAGTTATAGAGAGCCATTTGTGGCCTTATAGTGAAATATATTAAAAAGCAAGAATTCAGTATTTTAGACTTTTCATAAATTCATAATTTTCATAAAAGAACATAAAATCTCCCATGATAATATAATCGAAAATATGAATGATTTTGAATCAACATTTTATGCCTTTTAAAATAACTTTTACAAAATATTTTTAAAGATGCTAAGGGCTTTCCATAATTGTTGAGTCCAACTTAGAGATAAGTTCAACTTGGGATCTTTGTGAAACACCCCCGGGATTTAACAGGCGTTATCATGATCATTACATAAAACAGTGAACTTTGAACCTGATGATCCTTCACTGTACATGTACATGTATCCATTGATTGGTCATAACATGCATGAATTGTATATCGGTCATTACCTGGTAGCTTCAATGCAACAAAGTGTTAACAATAACAAAGAGATATCCTATGTCAAACCTATAGAAAAGTATTAGATTTCTAATGTACAAGGGAGAATTACTGGGTTCAAAGATTAATTACACATATATATGAGTTGTGTGATTAATGGGGCGTTGCAAGAAAGTTGCAATCAATTGCAAATCCCCCAAATCAAGCGTAAGCCTTGCGATTAATTGCACGTTTGCACAAACTTTCTTGCAACGCCCCATTAGTTAGAGAGAGGGGGAGAATAAAAGCTAGATCTAGTTTACTTAATTTAATTGTTAAAACTTTAATCCTAACAAAATCCTAGGAAATTTAGGAGATTAGTGGGGCATTGCAAGAAAGTTGAGTTGCAATCGATTGCAAATACATTTGCAAATTTTGCAACTTGCAATCAATTGCAACTTTCTTGCAACACCCTATTAGTGTATCATCAATGCATCACAACTTGATTTCTGTTAAGAACCCATGTTGACGGTATGTCAAAGGACTCTTACAGGTACCGTGACATTTAGCACCTAGAATGTTTGTTTTTCCTACTGTATGGAAATAGATGTCACAAAATCATCATGGATTAAAACACCATGACTGCGGTATCAGTTACTAGTAGGACACTACAATCATTCTTTCAAAATAAATTATTTAAACCAAGAACCAAGGATACTTGAGCACAAATTAGAGTTGCAATATTTTTGGGAAAAATTTAAATCCCAAGGGAGATATACAAGGTAATGCATTTTCAGGCTTCCAGTACATGTATATGAATATCCTGTATAAAAATATAGCAATTACGCAACACTTGTGAAAATAAAAAGTGAGCCCTAAAGCTTTGTGAAAATGCATAATTTGGGGGGTTTTCCTACCATAGTGAGTCCAGATACCAGTATGAAATCATTTCCATACATACATGTAACAAGCTACAAAAGCTTCAAACGAGGTCACAAACATTTAGAATTTGATCACTGTATCTAATCTATTGCTTTGCCTCACTATTTATAAAAGCACAAAATAGAACTGAAAAAATACTGAGATTCAAACCCCCGACTCCAATGTTCTACCGGTAATACGCTGTCCTTACCGATTGAGTTAACGATGGGTTAATGAAAGGTGGGTTTGCATGATTATCATAACCCTATTACTAACTCTTAACGGCTACCATGTGCGCATGCGCAGGTTTCCTTCCCGTGCCCAATCTGGGCTCGCTCTGGTACGAAAAAATAAGACGCGATGCGGGTGTCGGTCATTGTCAAGCCACGCCTTCCAACTCCCAGCAGATCATTTCATCATATACAAGGACAAAACATGATTGCGACCAAACAAGCTACAAACGCTAAGAGGACATATGACATGACAATGACAGAAATGAATACATCAGTGATACCAGGTAGAATTGATCAGAGGGCTGAAAATCACCTAGAATGAGCTATTTGTACACAAAAAAGCCTAAACTATGGTCTGGAAATAACTCGACAGGGCCTGAATTCAGGCTATTGCCTGAAAACTGGCATCCCTGATACATGTGTTTGGCACAATGCTTTGCCCATGGTATTGAAGTTGTCACATCACATTAACTATCACTGTTTTTCTGCTGCTCCAGGTACCCTAGCCTCTGTCTCAGACATGAAAGTATTGTCAAACCCAGTAAAATCCTCCTGACGACCATCTGCGAATGAAGAGTTTGAATTGTTCGCATTGTCCGACCTGAACACAAAATCTTCCCCAAGCTCGGAGCTCTGCCCCCCTCCTGGCAGAAAACCGCTCTCTACATCACCAGGAGTTGCAGATGCACCGAAGGCTTGTCCAAAGTCAGTGGCACTTTGGTTATCCCGAAGGCCACTCGCAGTCATCGCTTTAGTCGAACCTGAGGCTGAGGCTGGGACGGATGGTGGGTCAGATGCTGGTAAAAGGGGCATCGACTGGCTTGATGTTAAAGGATTTCCCTGCTGTTCGTTGGGGGCGTACTTCTGTCCTCTGCGCTTTCCCAAGATCTTGACATAGTTCGCGGGGACAAGTCCAATCTTCTCCCCACCTTTGCTGGCCAATAACCAGCCGCGAACCCTGGGTTGCTGGTCTGGATTATAAACAATGAACAGAATATTCAATCATTTACGTATACACGCAGTGTATTCAATCATGTACGTATTTATTGAACAAAGGATTTAACTTGCAAATGAACAAAATTCATAGGTCAGTCAAATGCAATAAGAATATATTTGTGATGAACTACATTCATCTCAGTTATCACTGAAATACAATTTATATAACAACAATACAGTATCAAACAATACAATATAATTATGTTGGAAGTTGCATTACAGCTATTTCTGGAAAAAATAAAGGGTCAACAAAATCAACTTCATGAAGGGCTTGTTTACAGGTTAAACCAGTTTTGGTTCATTGAAATCGA